GCATATGCCGTAAGCGATGTAGCAAGGTTCAGTGCTCATCCAACGGAGGAGCATTGGATTGCTGTTAAACGTATCATGCGTTATCTGAATGGAACTCGAGATATGGGTTTACTTTATGATGGAAGCAAGACAACGACTTCATGTGTTGGGTATTCAGACGCTGACTGGGCTGGAGATCTTGATGACAGAAAGTCAACTTCGGGATATGTCTTCCAGATAAGCAACGCAGCTATCAGTTGGCGAAGCAAAAAACAGTCATGTGTGGCTCTCTCGACTGCTGAAGCAGAATACATGGCATTGGCAAGTGCAACCCAAGAAGCAGTTTGGCTACAACAACTTCTAAGTGATCTAAAGAGCAAACCAACCGGTCCAATGTTGATACTTGAAGATAATCAAGCAGCAATCTGTATGGCAAAGAATGCACAGTACCATGGACGTGCAAAACACATTGATATAAAGTATCATTTTATTCGAGAACATGTTGCTAGTGCTGCAGTTAAACTGGAATACTGTAGCACTGAAGAAATGATCGCTGACATTTTTACTAAGGGACTAAGTGTGGTTCAGTTTACTGAACTTAGAAAGATGCTCGGAGTTAGTTACAAATGAACATACAGTTATACGAGTGAGCAGGAGTGTTGAAAGTATACACTCGTAAACTTTATATAAGATAAACATTACGGACTTCCGGTTTGTTTTTATTAGTTAAGTGGTCACGTGTTTAATTGGAGACCATGTTGGTTGTCGTGTTTTTATGAAAAACATCGAACAGTGAACTCTCGTTGATATTGCTTTGTTAACAAATAGTTTTTATATTCTTTTAAATTAAATCATTTCAAAACCAATGGCTATCAAATAGTGTGAGACTGTGAGTGGCCATTGATATTGTTCTGCATTTTTATAATAATACGTCTCATCAGCAAATATATGGTAATATATTGAGACGCATGAACTGTGTAAACAATTCGATATGTTATTTACATATTTAATATACTATTCATGAGACTGACCTGACACGGAGGTGATTCAAACAGCGCTGTTCTTCACAGATCACATCGCAGGAACTGCAAATTATGCCAATAATTGCACACCAAAAGCTTTCGATCAGAATTCTTTCGCGCGCGCACCTTTTCGTTAAATGAAACACGTTACATTCGTTCATTATACACAGAAGATCGTGGTGTGGATCTATATACAGTCCTGTAGAAGCCATATCTTTCTCCTTGCAACGAGCGGCGATTACAATTTACCGACTATTCGATTACAATGAGGAGCCGACACGACAATAACAAGCCAGCTGCCAGCATCGCTTTGAAGTCGATGCGACTATTGGAGTTTAGGTTTTTGTCGAGGGTCGAGTGTCGAGGGTCCAATGTCGAGGGTGAGGGTAAAAAGTCGAGGGTGAGGGTAAAAAGTCGAGGGTCATAAAAAAAGTCGAGGGTCGAAATTTGCGGGCAAAATAACTTGTTTAATGTTGTGACATGGACTTATCATATATATGTATGCAGAACTACATTAAACTACCTTGCGTAAATTTTCTAAACGATTATTTTCTAAGCCCCTTCACGCTCGCAAGTTAACATGTTTATGTCTAATATGAGAACGGTCTCTTTGCTTTCTTATCAAATTAACGTAACAGCATAGATTATCGGGCAGCTGTAATCCTCAAGCTAGTAATGGCAATACATTAAGGCAAAATATATTACCAATAACAAGTTATGATAAAAAACTTGTGTGCATGGTTTTCTGCTCGATCGGAGCGCGGTTAGCGCGGTGCAGACATGCCACTGTTTCAACTAGAAACCAATTAACGCTAAATGATTCAGTCAATATTACTCGTCTCACGGCCAAACATTGTCATTGACCAACCTCGCAAGCACACCTGCGGCGGGACGGAGACCTTTGCTTGATGCGAGGTTGAACATTGCCATTGGCCTGTTTATGAAATTATACTACGTTTAGAAACTCTTTTAAGACTTTTAAGTTAATATTGATAATAAATGCTCCTTGACTTTGCTTTTAATGAAAAAATTCCGCCTTTTTATCTAAAAATGCCTTAATCAAAAGTGGCCTGGAGACATTACACGCTAGAAGACATGCTGCGTGCGTGAAACTTTTTAACCAGACGACCCAAACCATCAACTTAATGAGTTAGTTTCTAGACCAGAATTCTCCCTTAATTCATGATTTACATAAGGAGAAACACCGTTTTAAAACTCTTTTATCGTTAGTAGTTGTCTTAGTTGTCGTAAAAATACAACCCTCGACTTTTTTTACGACCCTCGACTTTTTACCCTCACCCTCGACTTTTTACCCTCACCCTCGACATTGGACCCTCGACCCTCGACAAAAACCTAAACTCCGACTATTGCAAACAGTAGCATTTTGCCTCATTCTGATTGGCTTGCTTCGTCTGACCGTAGCAAACCAATCAGCACGCCGTATTTGCAAATTTTTGCAACGGTCAGTTTCAATCTGAACACCGCAAAAATTTCCAAATACAGCGCTATGATTGGTTTGCTACGGTTAAACGAAGCAAGCCAATCAGAATGAAGCAAATGCTACGACTTCAGGACGATGTGATATAGTACTAGTGCAAAACCCGCAAATACAGGCAGTATTGCAGTAATTTAATTATCCAAAATAAAATAAAAACTCGATAAAATTGTATCAATATGATTTAGTAAATTTGAAAAAAATTGCACCAAGTTTCAATGAAAAAGTGAAAATATCGGCAATTAAAAATAGTATAACGTTTTAGTTTTTAATAACTTTAAAATGGTACACCCTGGAAAAATATATCTCGGGGAAAATCTGACCGTAGCATATGCTACGGTTGCAACGGTCTGAATCCGCCCCTGGTTTATTGGACATTTCTGTATTCAACCTGTATCAAGCTAAATAATTACTGTCGTTCCAATTGAAGTGTTCCTCAAATATTGATTCAATACATTACCTCGGGCTGACCAATTCATTTCATCAAGTTCCTCGAGATATTCATACACTTCCTAGTATAATTGTAAACTTCCTGTTGAATAGTTTGAATGCACCAATCACCTTTGTTGTTTGTGCAACTAACCAATCATAAATAGAAAGAAAGTGACCAGAAATGATCAAATACTTGGAATTGGCTCTTTCACAGGAAGTGTATGAATATCTCGAGGAACTTGATGAAACGAATTGGTCAACCTGAGGTAATGTATTGAATCAATATTTGGGGAACACTTCAGTTGGAACGACAGTAATAGTGTGGAATTTCAGCAATACTTGATTGATTGATTATAGGATTTTTGCACACCGTATATTACTATTATTTCTTAACAAATGTACACAAACTCTGGGCTTCTCCCGAGGCAGTAATCAGTGGTCGTGGAAACCGTAAATATGTCTGTCTTCTGGATTGTCTATTGTCTGACAGTCAGGTAGACAGTATAATAGTTGCATCAGTCGTAATTGGCTGGTTGTGGCCACCGGCCCACCAGACGATTGTACTAGTCAAGGTAAGAGTGCTGCCGCTTAATGTGTAAATAACTCATTAAATTGCATTGCGCTCCGGTGCGCACACCAGAGCGCCATACTTTATTATCTTATTCTTGTCTAACGCCAGACAATTTTTCTCCGTCTATAAATGCCAAACCATTTTTCTGATCAAGGCGGGGAAGTCGTGCTGCTACTCAATGGGTTAATTAAATTACATCCTGTGCATGTAGGCCTATAGATTTCCTTGGCATGGATCATGACCGCCTGACCATCGTGTGCGTGTTTGGAGCTGCTACTGGATCAATCCTGCTTCTGGTCTTTAAAAACATTTCAGGATATAGCAATGCTTGGGGAAAAGGTAAGAATGAGTTTTCGTTTATTATCCAATATTACCAAGAAAAATTACACCCATGTTTATGTCATTTATGAGAGATTGTTGCAGTCTAGTTAAACTTACTTTTCACTCAAGTGTTCCGAATTTATTTCCGAAGTGCGCTAATTTGTTGGGAAGTTCAAAAGTTCATAATGAAGCATGATCGGATTGATGAGGTGTGGTATAGGACGTCTGCTGTATGTGTTTGCCCATTGGCTAACAGATGTGTTACAGTTAAAGTCTGGCTTCCATATGGTCGTAATAGTCGTAAAAATCTCATCACGATCTTTCTCAACTGCAGCCAGTTTATAATAGTTTTTATAATATAGCATTTGTAAATTCTGAACGCTGATTGGCTAAGAGCCGTGTTGATATAACTCATTGTCAACACAGAAACGTTGGAAAATTCCTTTCTTTATATTTCTTTGTGCTATATTATAAAACAAATATAAAACTTTTTTCCGTATTAATATACAGTTATATCAACACTCGTGGAAATTGGGAAAACTCGAAATTGTGTGAAAACCATTGAACTATAAATAAACTGGAAGGCTAACTGCTATGATGAAGGCCTATGATTTGATGAAGCCAAAATAGTTTTTCTGAGTTATGAGCAGATTTACTTGACCCCAAACGTTGGGCTATATATCAAATTGAAGCTATTGAAAAGTGCTATTCGGTGTGGAAATTTCAAGACTTCAGCGGAAAAGAAAACTATTTAAAAGATACAAAAACAACTGCAAAATGGCAAATTATCGGTAATTTTGTTTGTAGTTTTTCAATATTTCCCTTTTAGCTAAAGTCTTGAAATTTCTCCACACCAAATAGCGTTTTTCAATAGCTTCAATTTGATATATAGTCCAACCTTCAGTGTTGAGTATTTCTGCTCATAACTCAGAAAAACTAAAATGCACTGGCCTCAATTACCCTCCCCCCTGAGTTAGCCTTCCAGTTTATTTGTAGTTCAATGGTGAAAACCTGGTGAAAACACTCCGCCCTTCGGGCGTCGTGTTTCCACACAAATTTCTCGTTTTCTCAATTTCCACTCGTGTTGATATAACTGTATATAACATTCTGGGGTTATATAGTGTCTGTGAAGGGTGTAATATATTCATGATATGCTACAGTCGTGCCAATAGAAGCGTTTCGAAAAATGTTGACCAATTCATTTCCTAACTTGAAGGAACACCTCTGAACAATTCCTCAACAATTTGATAAGTTTCTTAAAAAGTTCCTAACTTCCTGTTTTATTGACCAATCAAATTTTATATTTATTTTTGAGCAATCTGATTGGTCAATGAAACAGGAAGTTAGGAACTTTTTAAGGAACTTATGAAATTGTTGAGGAATTGTTCAGAGGTGTTCCTTCAAGTTAGGAAATGAATTGGTCAACATTTTTCGGAACGCTTCTATTGGCACGATTGTAATATTCTGTTGTATAAAATGTTAGTCGGTATATAATCAAGTGAATCTATAATATATTTGCATGAACTCAACCAAGAACGTTGTTGTATTTGTATTGATCGATTCAAGAAATGTATAGCCCAAGGAACATATAACGGAGGGTCTTATTGAAAATTATGACTCATATTTTACATAACTGTACAGTGACTTTGGAGTTTCTGCCAACTGAACCGCATTTAGTATGTCCATTGACGTATCTTATGGTTAGGCGTTGTTTTCTAAACTAAACGTATTTGCTTAGTAATGCGTGGCTAGTATTTTTGCGTACTCTTG